AGTCCTCAATATTTTCAAATACTACTTCCTCATATGTTCATATTCCCTTTTCAACTTGTTTAGATGATTTAGAAATCTTGGTTCTGGCATAAAAGTGCAATTATTAGAGAGCCATGCACATGATCATCCTGCTGTCAGCCATCTTGAATTTTGAATTTTAAATACACTATAAGCTTTTCAAGCCATATTTAATCCGCCAATCTGTTAGCCTTCGAATAAACTTAAGTTGTGAATTAAGGCGGCGTCAATAAAGCTACCACTGTACAAGCATCTTAAAATTGGTAAACAAATCTACAAACTATTTGAGTAGAGGAGATATTACTCAAATTCACCACACAAATAATTTAATATTGAATGTCACCAAGTTTCATGGTGGGGGAATACAGCAAAAGTGTCAAAATTTCTTGTACCAAAAGCAAAAGCGTGGCTCAGTTTTTACTTACTATCGCCAAATACAGTGAACCTGAGTGGTCAAGGTTATTAAGTCTTCTGGTAGCTACAAGTGACAGTGATACACACCAAAGTGTTTGTTAGAGGAGCGTGAAAAACTTACCGTATAGAATCAGTGGTCACGAAATTATCATGTAGAGCGCACAGGTCCGGTGTCATAAACTGAATTGTTGTTTGGAGACAAAACTATAGGTGGCGCTTTTCCAAGAGAGATTTCTTTATTCGTGTTGGTGCTAGTAGAGTGCTAACGAGTATTTTATTTTAAAAGGGGCACAGGTAAAATTAAATATCTGAATGCACATACACAATTATTAATAGACAGATGTTGGCAGTCATAAACAGTATTTCTCTACAGCATAATATCTGAAAACAACTGATAGACGGGTAGATAAATTTCATCTTCTTCACAACAAAACTGGTTGCAGCAGTTCGGGACTTGAGAAGGTGAGAGCCAAGTTAAAGGCTGAACGGGCTAAGTCATTACCATTTTACAGTTAAATTCAATTGTTTCTTTCAGCAAATAAAATAAAAGTCCACATTAGAAAAAAATTAAATACTGGTGGGAGTGATTAATGGCATATGGTCATACAGGCAGACAGATACTGTATTACATTTTTCAAGGTGCAGTAGTACCTCTGGGTACACCACTTTTTTATAATAAAACCATTGATAGAAGACAATTAAGTACTGAACATGTTTAAATTAATATGCAAATTGTCACAAGTCAGACCCCAAGCATACTAAATGTGTGAAGACTGGCCCTGTTTATACACATACCCCGGTAGATCATTTCAGTTACAGCTATGTGTTCACAGGAATAATTAAAACAAAAAAATTTTTTATGTTTAAAATAATATGTCATCTTTATCTTTCAGATTGCATTCCTCTCTCCACTAGTATGGGAATTGACATGAGCAGACTGGCTTCTTCAAACCAACAGATATGCCAAGAGGGGCACCTGCTGATCCATATGAAGATGGATGTTATAACAAGAGAGGATGGACAACAGACTTTGACTTTAAGGTGTTCTTTATGTGAAAGTGTGTTAAAGATGAGTGATGTCAGTAGATCTCCACTCCTGAATTGTCCAGTAGTAACTGCTGCAGGTCAAACTTTGCAAAATAGCCAGAAAACAAATCAAGCAGACACAAACACTTCTGAAAGAGAGTCCAGCTTTAATGACTTTTCACAGGATTTTGTTAAAACAGATCCAGATTCAGTCTGCGGTGACTGTGAAGATGATCTTGATTTAGATATGCATGTTGAAAGTTATGAAAGTTTTCAGCTCAGTAATAAGAATTCTAGCAATATTGACCTTTGTGCAAATGAGGCAGATGTGTTGTACTCAAAGCCAATTGACAAAACCATTTCACCACTGTGCACTGATGCAGTCCCAAACAGCACAGAGAAAACAAATGAAAAGGAAATCACCTCAACAGTGGATAGAGGTACAAGAACACAAGATATTCAGCCAAGAAATATGGAATCATTTTTTAAACGTAAAATACAGAAGAGCCCCATTTCAGTTGAGCAGATACCCAAGAAAACCCCAAAGCTACAAGCCAACAGGGGAACAATTAGTGTGTCACTGAAAAGATCTAATCAGCAATCTGATAATGATTCAAATAAGAATTGCACATCTTCTGGTCAGCCTTCTGTTTTTGCACAAATTAGCTCCAGTGAACGTAGGTTTAAAATTCCATCATGCAAGTTTTGCTTTGCTACCCACAGTGAATTTGGACAAAGTGTAGTGTGCAGCCACAAATGTCCTAAAACAGGTGGCACCATTTTCATATGTTCAGTCTGTAATGAGTACTACAGCAGCTGTAGTGTAGTGATTGAATGTGAAAGAAAACACAGACAGATAAATGCAACTTCCAGCAAAGAAGAATTCAAGTGTATAGTTTGTGATAAGACATTTT